AAAACTACAGACTAAGCAGCTTGCGTGTATCTGTCCTAGTGAGCATCTTAATTATACAACTGATCCATACAACAGTGGCCCTGATCGTGTCCCTAGCTATGCCAAGTGGGGATTGAGTGGCGGCAATTGTCTCAAGCGGAGCAGAGGAAGCCGTCTCTTGCTCAGTGCTGATTGGGTGATTCAGCTGGGTTGATTTAGCAAGTAAAACACGATTCTGAATGCTTCAGAAGTTGATGCTGAAGTTACTCTTGGCTCAAGCCTTCTTAGAATCTCAATAACCAATTTAAAAGTCAACAACAGATAAAACAATACCACTAAGTCAGCGGTGATGAGGAAAAGTTCTACACGTGAACGAGACTTAAAGTGGTCTCAATAAGGTGGTTATTTGTACTTCAGATTAATGTTGTTTTATAATCCACTGAGTTATCCACTGAATTGTAAAACTGAAGTGAATATATTTCAGCTGGTGACTGATGATAGTAAACTACCTTCATGCTAATCAGTGGCTGCCTTAATACACGTGAGAACAATGGAAAGAGAGGCAGGAAGAGGGCAGACCACATCGTATTATGTGATGGGAGTCTAATGTCAAGAGACTAATAAAAAATACTTTCAGTCTATTACTTAAAGTCTGCTCAGAGACGACTGTCAATCACTAATCTAAAAACCCATCGGAGGCAAGTCAATCTATAATTGAAACACCCCAACAGAAACCAGCGCATTAGTGTGGTGTTTAAAACATCATAACATATTTATAAAACCACTCCACTGAAGACCATTTTCATCTAAAGATCACACAGAAACATTAGCCACGAACACAGAAAACAACTATAAAGCTCAAACTAGCGAATACAAATTTACAAAAGTTTTGCCATTTTAGGAATGTGAGAAAGAAGAGACACGTGATAAAGATTACGAGCCAGGAGACACGGATGGAGAACGTTAGACGGAACTCGTCTCAGCTGGTGTTGGCATGATTGTGAGCAGCAATGATCATGGTGGTGGTGGTAGTACAGTACAACTCGTGGTAATGCACACGCGTGCTTCCGCTGGCCTTGTGAATCTTTCAGCAATACCAAGATGAGAATGGGCTTTGTAGTAATATTTAAAACTTTTGAACTTTTTTCCTTGCAATCATGAAACCAGAATCAAAATGATAAATTAATGTCCAAGTGTTCCTATAAGGTCATTTGGAAGAGGCTTTGGCTTTTGCACAATTGGGGTGAGATTCTGGACACATGTGGCCACATGTTGTTACAAGTTGAAGATATATTTGAAATAAAAAAAAAACATTCGAAGTCAGACCTGTGTCGTGCACTCTCTTCTTATTTGTTTACAGATGAGGAAATAATTAACCAGGAAAAAAAACGTCTTTTAGACAAACATTTGTCCAAGTTGCCAAGGGCATCAACCTGGTTGTGTCAGCAATAAATCAAACGTCACAGTCAAGTTCAGTGGTAGGAACCCGACACACTGAGAACAAAGAACCAAAGGGCACACGTCAATACTTGTCATAGCGGGGTTTAAAGGTGCCCCATAGCTCAATTAAACACAGAAGCTGCATCAAAAAGGTGACGTTTCATAGAGCAGGGTTAAGTGTTCCAATGAAGGCATTCCATATGCATTGCTTCACGTGTATATAACCATTGTCAAGGTACGCGGAACTCAGGCCAGTGCTGTAAAATAATATACACGTCAAACGTTTAGTTCTGTTGATTTTTATTGTTTTAAGATCTTTGTAATTTCTCCCCCAAATAATATCCAATTGTGCCCATGGTGTCAGTGCACACGCACTCCTGTGACGGAACAATCCCAGAAAGACGACGTCAAATAACTGCTTCTGAAGTCACTTCGACAGGCCTCTATCCACACGAGGATCATGTGCTTTTACATGCTCTGCAATGATTGTGCATCGCATGCCATTCAAACGGAATTGTTTAAATCTCAGAGCTGAAATATAAACATGAAGATCTAATGGTTGACCTTGCTGAGACGATCTACTCACTACAACTGAGAACCTGGTGAAATCACAACGAGCTGCCCAGATTCGAAACCAGCCCTTATCTGTAGAGGCTCGATGCCTTCATCCCTGAGCCACCCTAACCACCTCTTCTTCAATATGTTTTCAATATGTTTTTGAAAGGAAATATTTGGCACCGTTTAGAATAACCCACTGCTCACAAGACAAAGTGTGCTAAAATGTGTCAGGCAGATATAATATATTAACATACACGCCTTATGTTTAACTGCTTTAAAGTCTACTTGTTTAAGTAACACAATCATGGCATGGCTTTGAGGGCAATGAGCATCTTCAGCAAGGTGTGGCTGAAGATGCTCATCTTGTGGATGGTTGCAGAAAAGGCAATCATCCACGAAATAATTTCACTGCAGGAGCAGCTACAGTGAGGGAAAAAAGTATTTGATCCCCTGCTGATTTTGTATGTTTGCCCACTGACAAAGAAATGATCAGTCTATAATTTTAATGGTAGGTTTCTTTGAACAATGAGAGACAGAATAACAACAAAATCCTCAAAAACGCATGTCAAAAATGTTATAAATTGATTTGCATTTCAATGAGGGAAATAAGAATTTGACCCCTCTGCAAAACATGATTTAGTACTTGGTGGCAATCACAGAGGTCAGACGTTTCTTGTAGTTAGCCACCAGGTTTGCACACATCTCAGGAGAGATTTTGTCCCACTCCTCTTTGCAGGTCTTCTCCAAGTCATTAAGGTTTCGAGGCTGACGTTTGGCAACTCGAACCTTCAGCTCCCTCCACAGATTTTATATGGGATTAAGGTCTGGAGACTGGCTAGGCCACACCAGGACCTTAATGTTCTTCTTCCTGAGCCACTCCTTTGTTGCCCTTGGCCGTGTGTTTTGGGTTATTGTCATGCTGGAATACCAATCCACGACCCATTTTCAATGCCCTGGCTGAGGGAAGGAGCTTCTCACCCAAGATTTGACGGTACATGGCCCCATCCATCGCCCCTTTGATGCGGTGAAGTTGTCCTGTCCCCTTAGCAGAAAAACACCCCCAAAGCATAATGTTTCCACCTCCATGTTTGACGGTGGGGATGGTGTTCTTGGGGTCATAGGCAGCATTCCTCCTCCTCCTCCTCCAAACACGGCGAGTTGAGTTGATGCCAAAAAGCTCCATTTTGGTCTCATCTGACCACAACACTTTCACCCAGTTGTCCTCTGAATCATTCAGATGTGCATTGGCAAACTTCAGACGGGCATGTATATGTGCTTTCTTGAGCAGGGGGACTTTGCGGGCGCTGCAGGATTTCAGTTCTTTATGGCGTAGTGTGTTACCAACTGTTTTCTTGGTGACTATGGTCCCAGCTGCCTTGAGATCATTGACAAGATCCTCCCGTATAGTTCTGGGCTGATTCCTCACCGTTCTCATGATGATTGCAACTCCACCAAGTTGCTTGGCGATGGTCTTGTAGCCCATTCCAGCCTTGTGTAGGTCTACAATCTTGTCCCTGACAGCCTTGGAGAGCTCTTTGGTCTTGGCCATGGTGGAGAGTTTGGAATCTGATTGATTGATTGCTTCTGTGAACAGGTGTCTTTTATACAGGTAACAAGCTGAGATTAGGAGTACTCCCTTTAAGAGTGTGCTCCTAATCTCAGCTCATTACCTGTATAAAAGACACCTGGGAGCCAGACATCTTTCTGATTGAGAGGCGGTCAAATACTTATTTCCCTCATTGAAATGCAAATAAATTTATAGCATTTTTGACATGCGTTTTTCTGGATTTTTTTGTTGTTATTCTGTCTCTCACTGTTCAAAGAAACCTATCATTAAAATTATAGACTGATTATTTCTTTGTCAGTGGGCAAACGTACAAAATCAGCAGGGGATCAAATACTTTTTCCCTCACTGTGTAATAAACGACTCGGTCAGGCTTTCTTGGTCTCCGTTGTGTCGTTTATTAGGTTCTTCGTACCGCACCCCTCCGCGCACGCTCCGTGTGGGCCGCTCTCCGCTGGTGGCCGCTCCGCTCCCTCTCTCCGTGTGCCCCGCACACGCGCCAGCCACACCGCTCGCTCCGTGTGCCCCGCACACTCCGCTAGTCACTTCCTAGCTACGTGTGCCCCGCACACTCGGCTAGTCCTCACACCACTCTAGCCCCGTCGCCGCACACCACGTGGCAGATGGCGCCTTTGCTCCCGTTCCGCCCAGCGTGGCTCCCCCCTATTCTCACTCCATTCCAAAACTCCCGATCTCTTCCGGCTCTCTCCCTATATCCTTCCCATCACGTGACCCTGACTCCTCCTTCCCGTACTGCCCCCGTTTCCCATTGGAGCCGAGATGAGCAGTGGCTCCTCCCACATGCTCCGTCGACCCGGCTCCGCCCCCCAATGCTCCGGCCCGCGTGATTGGCGCGGAGGCCAACAACCACCCCGTTTATGCTCGCATTACAACTGTATAACCCATTGCCTCAAATGTAAAGTTCTGCATGAATGCTGATTTATAAGTACTCATTGCACTTGTGTGTGCATATTCTCAGGCTGGATTCAAGCTGTAATAATAAGATATATATATACTCTTTGGTTCTTTCGGTAAAGTCACGTAGGACGACCACTTGTGTTGCGATCGAAACGTTGTGATATTTTTTTTATACCTACGTGACTTTACCGAAAGAACCAAAGAGTATTGATTCCTGCAGTCAGGAAAGCTTCAAATCAAGATATATATAGATGCTATTTTTATGTATTGCATCGCTGGAAAATTGTGTAGGTGGTCCAGCAAAAAGACCCCAGTTTTTAGCAATTACCGTTGATAAGATTGCTCCGTCAGTCTCGTGATTAAAGACCCGGGCATTAACATGCTGCTGGATTCGTTGACGTGCCCCAGACCTGTCAATAATACTCCAGCAGAAAACACGCTGTATTTGTATTAAGGGCTGAAAGTTGTGAGGAGAAGCACTTTGAACCCAGCCCCGAGCACAACGTTTGAGTGGCAATGACATGCGCTGGTAGACACATACCTCGGTACATCCCAAAGTATCCATCCGATCGCACGGTCTTGATGAGACAATCAAACCTGCAATGCCACACACCAGGCAATTAGACAACGGTGAGTAGGCCACTCCATGCGGGCCACAGGTCCCACAGTGTCTCGCCGAGTCCAAAAGCAACGTGACTCCAGCATGTGTGGGATTTGGCCTCTGAGCCTCCTTGCTTGAGAACGCAGCACCAGTCAAATTAACCTAAATGGTGAAGGGGAAACTGCAGGGATGGGGGCGTTTAGTTTAAAGTGAATTGATAATTATTTAATTTCTGCCCATAGTGGGTGAAAACTAAGATTATTCAGGGTTGATTAACCCCAGATTACACCACTCTAGGTGAGTCAAGCAATTTTCACAAGTTATAGCTGTGGTAGTTTGATTGTTTTTTCTTGTTTTTTATTATCTCATTTGTATTGTTTCTCATGCTTTCCTCCAGTCCTGCTTGCTCCATTAGCCTACACTGTCCCCTCAATCCTGCACGTGCGGGCGACAGAGTTGTGCGTGTGTGGGGCGCGTCTCCCCGGGGCCCGTGCGAGCGTGTGGAGTGCCTCACAGAAGGATACGGCCTCGGCCACTCTCACGCTCATGCATCCACCAAGAGCACGATCAACGACGGCTTTATTTAGTCTAAGAAAATCGTCCTTGACCGATGCATTACACAGCCATCAAGTATAAACGTCGTGCACCCCCTTCATTAATTAATTACTATGGTTTTTGGCAGTAACAAGTGGACAAATCAAATGTTCAATCCGAAGGTGGAAAGTGCATGTTATTTGCACCACATGTAACGCTGCAGTTTTATGTGTGGTCAGTAGTTAAGATGTTGAATATGCAATTGAAATTCCTTAATATTATCTTTGATCTTTTAAAGTCATTTGGATGTTTTCAGATCGATGCACACATTTCAAATATATGCAATCCAAGTCTACTCTTCAAGAACAGCCAAGTCCTCTAAGTGACCTTTGATAACCTCACAATCAGGCAGTGTCTCTTTAATCCATATTTGTTTTTCGATTAGGCCACATGGGAGTAGTTTTGCCCATTAACACTCCACCACGTGACAAGATCGTCGCGTTTACAAAGATATATATGTACGTGCCAATGTATTGATCAAATTCTGACCAATAAAAACCACCGGTGGCTTGATTCATGACTGAATCCAGCAGTGCCTCAGCATTTAACAGCCCTGATGGGAACGTGGTGAAGTGTGGAGCCCCCTAGTGAAGGGCGAGGCAAGCGCTCACATGTTTCGGTACATGCGCTGTCCCTCCTGCTGGTTTTGCAGGCGCGTCTTGGCCAGGTCGATAGGGAAGACGCACGTGACCCCGATGAGCCCGGCGATGCCGCCATTGATCAGCTTGGCCGGAAGGCTGCACGCAACATCAACAGTTCACCGCCGTGAGCAAGCACAGCTTCCACCATCGCGAACCACAACACAGGTACACCACCCCGCAGCTACACCACGACACAGCCACATCACCACACAAGTACATCACCACGCAGCCATACCACTCCGCATCAACACCCCCACCGTAAGCCACACCACCACACAGCAACACCACTACAAAGCCACACCACCATCAGCCAAACCACCACGCAGCCATAACACCATCCGGTCACACCACCACACTTTAAAATGTCCCAGTTCATACTGTAAACAGCATGTTATAAATATAGCATACATTTCAAATTGCTGGAAGAAAATTATTTCCAATGTTTCACATTTTCCAACCATTAACACAAAATGTCTCATATCTACATATGTGCCAGACAAAGAGAGCCTATGTGGTTTGCTAAGTGATGACAAGGGGAGAGAACATCGAGGTGGAAGGAGAGACAGGGAGAGGCTGGGGTTTCGAATAGGGAGTGGATTTCCAATAATGGAGGCATCTTGTTGGCAATGCCCAGGCCAGGGCTGGGATGGGCGGTCCCAAGTGCTATCCCAAGGGGGCCTGGGACCGCTCTCATTTGTTTATTCGATGGAAAGATATAGAATTCGTGGCTCGCATCCCAGGAATCCGCTTGCTCACCTCAGTGGTTTCTCGGCCATTTAACAGAAAGCTCTGCTGCGAGGTGTGGACGTGGTCGCTGATTCACGGTCGCTCCTGTCTCTGCTCCGTTCCTTGCTCCGTGCGTCTGCAAGGGCTGAGCTGCTGCTGCTGTCCCAGCTGTCGCCTTATGGATCCAGGACTCGACTCCTACCTACGGGTAAGCAGCAACATGGGTTCAACTGAAATAACATGACCGAGGGCTACCTTAGGTTACGTAACACAGGGGCAGATTCGAGTTGCACGACACGGGCACTGAAGGAACTAAAAGCAACGCCAACATGGAGTCAGGCAATAGATGAGCAGTACAGCACTGGCTGTACAATAGAGGAGCAGTACAGCACTGGCTGTGGTAGTGCCAAGGCCATCGGTCACCTGCTGCGGATACTCCACTCGGGCACCCTGTGGAGGAAAATCCCTTGAGTTATACTGTAAATACAAAGCAGAGGATTCAATGCCTCTTGCACCCACTGCCTTATGAGTCCAGTGCTCTTATGCACGTAGAGCAACAAACACAGCTATCACTGCCGCCTAAAACACCCATCTCTGCCCATTAAAGTTCACCTCTCCATTACTATGCAGTCCATCAGGAACGTAGCTTGCTCGTGCAACATATCTCCTGACCTCCCTCTCATGCTCTCCTGTATGATTAACATCACATCCTAAACAAAGTCATCGACCAACGTGCACGCCTTCACGTGACACGGTGGGGGGGGGGTTAAACCGCAGACACAGGCGTGGCTACGACACGCGGCTCTCGGGTTGGGGGATGGCTAATGCATGAGAGCGGCCAGAAGGTGGCAAAAGATTGAATCGTCAGAATGTCAAAATTAGCATATGTATTTATACTGGAGGAATCCTATGAGCAATGAAGCTCTTTTTCACAGATGTCTAGTAGGGGCGGGAAAAAAACTTTACAAAAGCAAAAAATATATAAAAACACGATAGTAGTGCAAAATAGAAGAAAGGTAATCAAATCACCCAAAACACATACAAGTACAACTAAACCATCCCCATCCTACCAGACAAAGCCCACTGAGGTATTCACTTATTTTTTGAAAGCGACCCTTCCACAAATGACGCCGATGAATGGTCGGGGGGATAGTGATTCCGATTTGGTGGTGGAGGCGTGAGAGCGCGTGAGCTCGGAAATAATGTCTCCATTCGCAGCGGTGCCAGGGACTCACTCCCTTCCCCCCCCCCAGCTACGACCAAGCCTATCCCTCTATTTCAATCCCTCTTGTTCTAGCGTCATTACAACTACACCACCACTTACAAATAACCCAATTGTTAATTTCAAATCATTATCATCCTATGTAAAATTAAATAATTGATGTGAAGCAGCATGGTAAATGCACTCTATAAATCGAGATAATATTAGAAGAACGGAAGACGATGCGTGCCAAGTGTGCGAGTCTCACGCTGAATGCGTCCCCACTCGAGGGCTGGGACATCACAGATTGCTAGAAATTTTCCGCACTGAGGCTGGGCACTGGAGCCCTCCTGTGAGCTTTCATAAAGCTACGTCGACGGCAGGGGTTAGCGACGGTGTCCATGCAGCTTCATCACAGGCGTGAGTGGGAATTCCTATTACGTACAAGGACCCGAATTACGAGCATGACTTTGGAATTGAGTATTTTTTTAAATCCTTTATATTAAGTTCGCGTGCTTGCGTGCTGCGTGCTTGCGTGCTTGCTTGCTTGCTTAGGACCGTGCAAATCTTTCGGTCGTTTTTTAACCCACTTCCCGTGATCCAATCGAGCTGACATTTTCCACACAGACTCGTGCCAGACAATTATTGTTCGTGAAAAAAAATTCCCAAAATTTAACACTTTTTAGGCAAACAAAAATTTATTTTACATATATTCAAATAGAACGCATTCATGGCTTTGGCTGAACGTCAGAGTGTAAGAGCCCAGAGCGTAACCCCTCCACAGGCCGTGGTGGAGTAGCGCAGTTGGTAGCGCCCTCGCTTCCCATGCCAAAGGTCGCGGGATCGATCCCCGTGTCCTCCACAGGCGAATATATTTTTAAATCCTTTATATTAAGTTCGCTTGCTTGCTTAGGACCGTGCAAATCTTTCGCTCGTTATTTAACCCACTTCCCGTGATCCAATCGAGCTGACATTTTCCACACAGACTCGTTGTGTGTGACAATTAATTTTCGTGAATTTTTTTTTCCAAAATTTTACACTGTTTAGGGAAAACAAATTAAATATTTAATTACCAATTGCTTAATACTGGCAGACAATCATCTGACCCATAGATTGCAGCCATCTCAAGCCAGAGGACGAGAGAACTCTAGCCATCACGCATATAAAGGATTTAAAGTGAAAAACTTTGTTTTTACGGGTTTACTTGTATTAATTGACATTGTACTTTTAATTTTAAATTAATCAACGGGGGAGGGGGCTTTTAATGTAAACCTCGCATTTGTCTTTATCCAAGGGCGTTTCCTCATTTGTCAATTCAGAAAATGTGGGGCAGAGAAACTCCCTCCACCAGGCTGGTGGTGGAGGTCTCCTCCACTATCAGCGGCACAAACTCCAGCTGTGCCACAATAAACCTCAAGCACATTCGCAGCAGTGTTATTTCATTTAAATCATTGTTTGAGTTTTGTATTATTTCATTCAAGTTAAACATATTGGTTACAGCAATAATAATTTACCCCATTCCCTCTGCTCCTGGCCATGTAGCGCGCTTTTTTCACATCTAATTACGGGGCACTCAAATAATATCTCGCGCATCACGCTATGAACTTGGCCGCCTGAGTATAATTCCTAGCCATAGCTAACATCAGTGGGGAGTGATATCAGAGGCAATCCTGGGCTCTCCCTTCACCAACCTGCATGACCCATCATGGTAAAGTATGGCAAATCGATCCCCATGACAAGTATATTGGTAAAGGGCTGCACTTTTTATTCATTATTGTTATCTTAACATTTTTCTTATGGCCATTGATTGTGTTAAGGAATCAGTGACTGAGGAAGTTTTATATGTCTGTGATCCCCATTTCCAAATGTATCTCCACACGGAATCTTGTCAAGGCAGGCTAATCCGCAGCAGCGTGTGGGCGTGAGTTATGAGCTAAGTCGGAACATAAAGCCACCCTCCTCCACTATGCGCTATTGATTTAACGGTCATGTGTCGCCCTAATGCACGGTCGGTCAGTCCAGCCAGCTCTCGCATTAGTCACACAAAGTGTGTCCTTTGTGGTGCAACCTGCCAGGGGCCAGGCCGCCCCGTCGCCCAGCCTCTCCTCTCGCGTTGACCTACAGGGACTGCAGCGATAAGGCAGCTGCTGGCATCAGTGTGCCCTTCAAATGATGCTGCGGATGCACTGTAAACTGGTGAGGTTCAAAGAAGACAGGAGACATTGTCAATAGGAAGGGACCTCCTCCTTGCAAACACATTTTTTTGTTTAATTACTGTATTTCTATCCTTCCACATCGATGCTCACTGCTTTCTCCAACCTGCACTAACTAGGCTGGTAAAATAGATTTTAAAAACCCTCACACACCGCATGGCGTGGGGAGGCTCTCATCCATCAGTGGATTTTAGAATAGGGCCACACACGTGCAAGATTATTTACGACAAACTCAGCAGCAATCGAAAGAGTGGATGTTCATGTCCCGGTCAAGGGTTGACTCGGCCCTTCATACCTTGTTGTCCTACCCCCCCACCCCCGATTAGCACAGTTGGCTACATATGGTGTGAAAGTTCAACATACATACATCCCTCCGGAGTTCATGATCTCAGTGGCCCTTTATCCTTGTCCTACGGAAAGACTCAGCCTCACCATCGGAATTTGGAATGTTCAGCACTGGCTCCGAGCTGTGAACAGATGAGTGCCACCTCATGCTGAGTTGAGCAGGAAACCACAGACTCTGAGTCTAGACTTGACCACTGAGTTGGGAAAGCGGCTTCTGAGACACAGGCAAGTGTCACACACAGCAGGTCGCGGCTCGGTATTGGAGTCAAACTGGGGAGAGTAGAGGTGGAGGAGAGAGATGTAAGCATAGTACTGCAGAAAACCTACAGTATGAGGCAGCAGCTCATGACATAATCATTGCAGACACACATCAGCCATTCTCCTTGCAACATATCTGTCAACATGAAATTAAATGCTACCGATTCATTTCCATTCAACTACTGCAAAACAGCATTGTTGCAAGAGAAATGTAACTTTGCACTGGATCCAATGCAAGCGTTAACAATGCCGTGCAGTTTGACCCATTAGGTGTGTTGTGGCCTTCTGGATGTACCCCTCTCAACAGATGCACAAGTGTTTGTAAAGCCTGTGGTATGAAACAATTGCTGACTGCATCTATTTGACTCCAGCTGGTTACTTCGGATCTCCTTCACCTCCCTGGTAATACGAGTAGAGCACTCGTCGGTGTGTCAATTGGGCTTGAGAGCGAGTGTGTGGTCAAGATAGGCAGGAAGAAAGAAAGGTATTTAGTGAGTGCCACCATTGCCCTGACCGAGACATTGACGTGTCCTGAATACCACACCAAGAGGGGCAGCACGACAGATGTCGCTTTAATGCCAACCGGTACGGATTTTCCCTTGCACCAACATAATGAGGTCTGCCCGAGTTTGCGTGACGACTTTGGAGCGGAGCGATAATCCTGCTCTCCGGCGGCTTTACTCCCAATGGGCCCAGCCTGTTCACCCCACCCCTCGATCCCAGCACAAGGTAAAGGGGGGAACTGAGCAACCCCGCTCCGAATCACGTTTGCGTTTCTTCCCTCAGGCCCTGTTTCTGACAAATTTGAAGAACGCCGAGGCAGCACGGATTAGGGGTGGGGGGGGGCAGGGTGGTGGGGGGCAGTGTGGGTGGCAATCAATTACGCTGCCCGTCGCCACCTCCGGCCAAATTACCCCGACAGCCCGTGTGCAGCGCAGCGCAGCACAGGGTGAGTGCACATTTATGAAATGGACGAGATATTGTCCTTCAAAGCATGTGTACACTTTTGCGGCAGCAATGGAAAAAGGTTGCCGCGAATGATGTGGTGGTGACGCCGCTGCTGCTGCTGCGTTGGTAGTGGTGCACAAACTCAACACACCTGTCAATAACACTGTGGTCTTAAATATATATACAAAATAGGCGATTATTCTTTGGTTTTTTCGGTAAAGTCACGTATAATAATTA